TGGGTAGTAAGTGGGTAAGTTATTTACTTTATCGTGGAAAGGATTTTTTTTTCTCATTTTCTTTCCTTTTTGGTTTTCTTTTTGGGTAGTAAGTTATTCACTTTATCGTGGAAAGTTTTTTTTCTCATTTTCTTTTCTTTTTGGGTAGTAAGTGTGTAAGTTATTCACTTTATATTGGAAAGTTTTTTTTTCTCATTTTCTGTTCTTTTTGGGTAGTAAGTGGGTAACTTATTCACTTTATAGTAGAAAGTGGTTTTTTTCTCATTTCTTTTTCTTTTTGGTTTTCTTTTTGGGTAGGGAGTGGGTAGGTTATTCACTTTACAGTGGAAAGGATTTTTTTTTTCTCATTTTCTGTTCTTTTTGGGTAGTAAGTGGGTAAGTTATTCACTTTATCGTGGAAAGGATATTTTTTTCTCATTTTCTGTTCTTTTTGGTTTTCTTTTTGGGTAGGGAGTGGGTAAGTTATTCGTTTATAGTGGAAAGGATTTTTTTTCTCATTTTCTTTTCTTTTTGGGTAGTAAGTGTGTAAATTATTCACTTTATAGTGGAAAGGATTTTTTTTCTCATTTTCTTTTCTTTTTGGGTAGTAAGTGTGTAAGTTATTCACTTTATAGTGGAAAGTTTTTCTTTTCTCATTTTCTTTTCTTTTTGTGTAGTAAGTGGGTAACTTATTCACTTTATAGTGGAAAGGATTTTTTTTTCTCTCATTTTCTTTTCTTTTTGGTTTTGTTTTTGGGTAGTAAGGGGGTAAGTTATCATTCACTTTATAGTGGAAAGTTGTTTTTTCCCCCCATGGGTATATATGTTATTTTTTGCTTTTTTTTTTTATTATTGGCACCTGCATATTTATTTTCATTCATTCATTCATTCATTCATTCATTCATTCATTCATTCATTCTCCCCAGCACAGTGTGGGGTTACAAATGTTAAGGTTACGTATATTTCCCTTACTCCCCCTCACACCTATAGTCGAAAGTTTTATAAAGAAACAGCGACATGCCGGGCAAGGAGGCTCACGCCTGTCATCCCAGCTACTCTGGGAGGCCAAGACAGGAGGATCGCTCGAGGTCAGGAGTTGGAGGCCAGCCTGAGCAAGAGCGAGAGCCCGTCTCTACTGAAAATACAGAACAAGATTAACTGGCCAACTACAAATATATAATAAAAACATGAGCCGGGCGTGGTGGCGCACGCCTGTAGTCCCAGCTACTCAGGAGGAGGCTGAAAAGGGAGGATCGCTCGAGGTCAGGAGTTGGAGGCCAGCCAGCCTGAGCTAGAGTGAGACCCCGTCTCTACTAAAAAATATAGACAGGAATGAGCTGGACAACTAAAAATATATGGAAAAAAAAATGAGCCGGGCGTGGAGGCGCATGCCTGTGGTCCCAGCTACTCGGGAAGGAGGCTGAGGTGGGAGGCTCGCTCGAGGTCAGGAGTTTTGGATCAGCCTGGGCAAAGGAGCAAGACCCCGTCTCTACCAAAAAAGTAGAAAGAAATTGGCCGGGTGCGGCTGCTAACGCCTGTCATCCCAGCACTCTGGGAGGCCGAGGCGGGAGGATCGCTCGAGGTCAGGAGTTCAAAACCAGCCTGAGCAAGAGCGAGACCCCGTCTCTACTAAAAATAGAAAGAAATTAATTGGCCAACTAATATATATAGAAAAAACGAGCCGGGCGTGGAGGCGCATGCCTGTAGTCCCAGCTACTCGGGAGGGAGGCTGAGACAGGAGGCTCGGTTGAGCCCAGGAGTCGGAGGCTGCTGTGAGCGAGGCTGACGCCACGGCGCTCACTCTAGCCAGGGCGACACAGCGAGACTCTGTCTAAAAAAAATAAAAAATAAAAATAAATAAAAATAATAAAATTAAATTTAAAAAAATAAAATAAATAAAATAAAATGACAGTGGGCTTCATGTCAAGTGGAGCACTGCCCAGAGAGTACTTTGGTAGAATTATTTCTTTGGTTGTAGAAATCTACGTAGACAGTGAAGATGTGTTGTTTTTTTTTTGAGACAGAGTCTCGCTCTGTCGCCCGGGCTGGAGTGAGTGCCGTGGCGGCAGCCTCGCTCACAGCAGCCTCCAACTTCTGGCCTCCAGCGATCCTCCTGCCTGAGCCTCCCTCCCGAGTAGCTGGGACTACAGGCGTGCGCCACCACGCCCGGCTTTTTTCTCTATATACACTGGTTGTCCAATTAATTTCTATTTCCAGTAGAGACGGGGTCTCGCTCTTGCTCAGGCTGGCCTCGAACTCCTGACCTCGAGCGATCCTCCCGCCTCAGCCTCCCAGAGTGCTGGCATGACAGGCATGAGCCTCCTCGCCCGGCTCATTTTTCCTACATATTTTTACTTGTCTGGCTAATTTCTTTCTATTTTAGTAAAAAACGGGATCTCGCTGTTGCTCAGGCTGGCCTCGAACTCCAGACCTCGAGCGATCCTCCCGCCTCGGCCTCCCAGAGTGTAGGGATTGACAGGGAGGAGCCACCCCGCGCCCGGCCGAAGATGGGTTTTGCAAACTTTTTCAACCCGCTACGTGCATCTGAGATATTTTGTGTTACAGAAACAGCTTTTTCAAGCTCGAAATTTGCTGGAACGTCTGAGGCAGAGGCAAGCGCGTGCCCGGCACGGTTGGGCCGTGTCTGGACGCAGTGGTTATCCAGACGGGCCCTACTCGAGGTCAGGAGTTCAAAACCAGCCTGAGCAAGAGCGAGACCCCGTCTCTACTAAAAATAGAAAGAAATTAATTGGCCAACTAATATATATAGAAAAAACGAGCCGGGCGTGGAGGCGCATGCCTGTAGTCCCAGCTACTCGGGAGGGAGGCTGAGACAGGAGGCTCGGTTGAGCCCAGGAGTCGGAGGCTGCTGTGAGCGAGGCTGACGCCACGGCGCTCACTCTAGCCAGGGCGACACAGCGAGACTCTGTCTAAAAAAAATAAAAAATAAAAATAAATAAAAATAATAAAATTAAATTTAAAAAAATAAAATAAATAAAATAAAATGACAGTGGGCTTCATGTCAAGTGGAGCACTGCCCAGAGAGTACTTTGGTAGAATTATTTCTTTGGTTGTAGAAATCTACGTAGACAGTGAAGATGTGTTGTTTTTTTTTTGAGACAGAGTCTCGCTCTGTCGCCCGGGCTGGAGTGAGTGCCGTGGCGGCAGCCTCGCTCACAGCAGCCTCCAACTTCTGGCCTCCAGCGATCCTCCTGCCTGAGCCTCCCTCCCGAGTAGCTGGGACTACAGGCGTGCGCCACCACGCCCGGCTTTTTTCTCTATATACACTGGTTGTCCAATTAATTTCTATTTCCAGTAGAGACGGGGTCTCGCTCTTGCTCAGGCTGGCCTCGAACTCCTGACCTCGAGCGATCCTCCCGCCTCAGCCTCCCAGAGTGCTGGCATGACAGGCATGAGCCTCCTCGCCCGGCTCATTTTTCCTACATATTTTTACTTGTCTGGCTAATTTCTTTCTATTTTAGTAAAAAACGGGATCTCGCTGTTGCTCAGGCTGGCCTCGAACTCCAGACCTCGAGCGATCCTCCCGCCTCGGCCTCCCAGAGTGTAGGGATTGACAGGGAGGAGCCACCCCGCGCCCGGCCGAAGATGGGTTTTGCAAACTTTTTCAACCCGCTACGTGCATCTGAGATATTTTGTGTTACAGAAACAGCTTTTTCAAGCTCGAAATTTGCTGGAACGTCTGAGGCAGAGGCAAGCGCGTGCCCGGCACGGTTGGGCCGTGTCTGG